TGGGGAGGGGCAGAGGGAGAGAGAATTTCAAGCAGACTCCCTGCTGAGCGTGGAGCGCAACCCGGGGCTCGATCTCACAACCCTGAGATCATGACCCGAGCTGAAATCAAGGGTCGGATGCTTAACCGACTGAGCCTCCCAGGCGCCCCTCTCTTCCACCATTTAAAATTGTAAAACCTGGGGCACCAGGGTGGCTCAGTCGTTAAGTGTCTGCCTTCGGCTCAGGTCATGATTCCAGGGTCCTGGGATCGAGCCCCGCATCGGGCTCCCTGCTCGGCAGGAAGCCTGCTTCTCCCTCTCCCCCTGCTTGTGTTCCCTCTCTCTCTCTGTCTCTCTCTGTCAAATGAATAAATAAAATATTTTTTAAAAATTTGTAAAACCCGTTTTCAGCCTGTGGGCCATACAAAATGATAGGCCAAGTGGGCCAGGCCGGCCAGAGTTGGCCTGTGGGCTGCAATTCGCTGCTGTCTGTTTTTCATCATACAGACACACTGTGAGTTATTTGCTTGGTTCCCTATTCGAGAGAGAGCACTTAAGGTGGTTTCCCATGTATGTCAACAAATAACACTCCTCTGAATATTCTGGGGCCCAGGCTTTGCACGTATGTGTGGGTAAATTTCTAGAAATAGAACTGCTGGATCAGAGGGCGGATGCGCTTCCCATTTTATGGAAAGCGCTAACGCAGTTGCGCCTCGGGTGGGGTTTTTGCCTGTGAAGGCTTCTTCCGGCGGCTTCATCAGCCCCAGATCAGTAATCGCTGTGCTCCCGGCCAGGCTGCAGGGTCTCACCCCTCTGTGCTCGCTCTCATTCTCATATGAATTTGAGCACATCTTCCCAGCTATATCTTAAGATTTTATTTATTTGAGAGAGCGAGCGAGAGAGAGCATGAACAGGGGGAGGAGCATAGGGAGAAGCAGGCTTGCCGCTGAGCAGGGAGCCCAACATGGGGACTCAATCCCAGGACTCTGGGATCATGACCTGAGCCGAAGGCAGACACTTAACCAACTGAGCCACCCAGGTGTCCCTGAGGTTTTCTTTTAGCCTAATTTTTTTCCCACCCATTTAAAGCATTTTTAATTTTTACAATTAGGTATTAATGTTCACATGACTCAGTCATCAAAAAGCATTTTTTTCTTTTTGAGAGAGAGCATGAGCAGGAGGAGGAGCAAGGGGAGAGAGAAAGAGAATCTTAAACAGGCTCCATGCTCAGCACGGAGCCCAGCACGGGACTTGATCTCACGACCCTAAAATCATGACCTGAGCCAAAATTGAGAGTTGGACACTTCATGGACTAGCCACCCAGGCGCTCCAAAAAGCATTTTTTTTTTTTTAAAGTAAGGGGATTGGTTAAGCATCTGCCTTAGGCTTGGGTTATGATCTCAGGGTCCTGGGATCGATCCCTGAGTCGGGCTCCCTGCTCAGCCGGGAGCCTGCTACCCCATCTCCCTCTCCATGCTACTCCACCTGCTTGTGCTCTCTGTCTCTCTCTCTCCATCAAATAAATAAATAAAATCTTAAAAAAATAATAAAATTTAAAAAGGCCGGGGGGGGGGAAGTGTCCCAAACCCATGCCTACATTCCCAGCCCACCTGCCCTTCCAGATAACCACAGTTACTTAGTTGTCGTATATCCTTCCAGTTCTTTGCGCATGTACAGCCTAGCGTAAATGTGGATTTACGTTTCTCTCCCGTTTCTGTCTGCCCAGAAGGTAGCACATTATATGCTTGCTTTGGCAGCATGTGGAGAGTTTCCTTGATCCCTTGTTAGAGTTGTGAAGTATTCCTCCATAGGGACGGACTGTCATTCCTCTCCTCTGTAAATGCTGGGTAGATGCACACTAGCCAAGTCCAGCTTTGTCCCTCCCCACACAGCTGTGGTAAACAACTTGTTGACCTGTCATTTCCCACACGTGCACGTGCATCTGTCAGGTCATTTCCCGGAAGCCTGTTTGCTGGATCAAAGCGAATGTGTACTTAAATTTGCACAGCTGCTGCTGGATTGCATTGTCCTGGTTGTAGCAGATTGTGCCAGTAACCCTCAGAGGCGATAGAAGAGAGTGTTTTTATGGGACATGGCTTGTTCCTAATGCAGTGAGTGAAAAAGGTTCCATAGGGAGCTTTCGATGGGCATTACTCTTAGTACAAATGAGGTGGCGCCTCTCTTGAACTATATAAGCCTTTGTGTTTCCTTCTCTGTGCACTGTCTGATCATATACTTGGCACCTTTTTCTCACCGGTTGTTATTCTTAGTGATTTCTGGAGGCTGTTTATATATGATGGAAATGAGCTTTGTCTGCACTGTGAATTGCAGCTGTTTCCCCCAGTGTATCATTTGGTTTTTTTGACGTGGTTAGGGGAGAGGGGAGGTGTGTTTGTCTGTATTTTTAATGAGTACGAGATTAACTTTTTCAGTTTTTATTTTTTAAACGCTTAAAAAGAATTTAGATAGCAATGTTATAGGAATAGTACAGAGAACTCATGGGAGTTCTTTACTCTTTACCCGCATATATTAGTTATCTGTTGCCATGTAACAAATGACCCCCCCCAAACTTAGCAGCTTTAAACAACAAGCATTCACTTCTCACACGTAGCTTGTAAGGATCAAGAGTCCGGAAGCACTGTAGCTGGAAGGTGCTGCCTCATAATCTCTCATGAGGTTATAGTCAGCCAGGGCTGCGGTCATCAGAAGACTCAACTGGACTGGAGAATATACCTCAGCCCCTCCCTACACGGGCTTCTCCAAGGGCAGCTTATAACATTCTCCAAAGGTGGCTTCCCCCAAAGGAAATGATCCACCAGAAAGGAGAGTCCTGGGACAGAAGGCGCAGCCCTTTCTGTAACTGAATCTTGGAAGTAGCGTCGGATCACTTCTGCCAAATCTGTTGGTCCCAGAGACCAACCCTGGGCACCATGTGGGAGGAGACCGAATAGTAAGGAGGTGGGGGATCGGCTGGGGGCGGGGGGATCGGGGGACGGGGGGAGGGCGCCTTGGAACCTGGCTACTGCCCAGATTTTCCCACCGTAAACGTCTGGCTACATTCGCTTTATTCTCCGTTCTCTCGATATGTATACATTTTTATTCAGAATCCTTGGAGAGTAAATTGCAGACGTTCTGCTTCTTTACTCCTTAACATCTCAGCCTTTGAGAACAAGAACATTCTCCTGCTTGACCACGGCGGAGGTATCAAATTCAGCCGATTTAGCGCTGAGGCAGTACTGTTGCCCGCTGTGCATAACCTAGTGTTGCCGGTCGTCCTGCCATCATGTCGTGCGTTACTCTCCAGATTACCCTTAGCTTTCGGGGGCCTTTCTTTCTCAGCACCAAGCCCCGAGCACACGCTTCCCAGGGCTTCATGAGGTAGCCAGCTGTCTTCCCTGCCCTTACCAAAACCTGTTGTTTTCCTCTGTTCTCTATTCTAAATGCTCCCACAATGGGGGAGCCCTGTGAGCCAGTGCCTGAATGGTTCCTCACTGATTCCTCGAGGGCGGATTGCCAGGTCAAAGGGCGTGTGACCCTTTCGAAGTCTGCAGACCACAGTGCTGTCCGGGTGACAACCTCAGCAGCCGCTTCCGAGAGCCAAGGGCCTCGCCGATCTCTTCTTAGAGGTGGCTAGCCTTTGGGGATGTGTGTGGATGGATTGGTGTGGGGGGCTTTGTTTTGAATTGCCAGAAGTTATTCAGGGTCAGCCTCGGACGGGGTGTTGGAGAAGGGTCCAAGGCGTTGGAAGCTTCAATCAAGTCGTAACCTCGAAATCACGAGTCGGCCCACTTTGGGGGCTCACAGTGAAGAGCCCCAGCTTTGGAGCGTGGCAGCTTTGGTGGCCTTGGGCCACCCCCCTGAGCCCTCTGAGCCTGAGTCATCCTCGGACAACTTGGAGGTCACTTGGGGGGCGGGGGGGGAGGCAGGGAGACTCAGGACCAGCCGTTTTGGCTCCCTGGCCTCAGTTTCTCCTCTGTCACCGGGGTGTGGATTCAGTGACAGCGAAGGGGTGCCAGCCCAGTGTCGGGGACTCAGCTGGTACCCGCTGGGGAGACAATGGCTGCCGAGGTTAGGACTCTGGGGGAGGACAGTGCGGAGGTGCTGTGTCCCGGGTGTGTTTTCGGCAAGGTTGCGGTTATCACAGACTAGTGCCCGGATGTCATGTGCGAGTCTGATAACACACAAACATACGTGCCCATACCCGCACGCTCACACGGGACCCAGGGAGGCCTGCAGCCGCGGCCACATAGGCACACGGAGGCAGAGGTCACGGACACTTAGAGGGACCCGGCCCCACCCCTCAGGTGTCATCCTTAGCCCCCGCTCTCTGTGCCCCCCCAGCCCCCACCCCCACCCCGTGCCTTCCATAGCCAGCAGCCCCGTGTTCTGCAGCCGCTCCATCCGTGCTGGCGTCCGGCCTCCCTGGGGTGGGGGGCTGGACAGTCTGGCCCCGCGGGGCTGGCGGCTGGGATGCTGCCCCCCCCCGGCCGGCTGCCTCCTTCCCCTCCGCTGCTGTGCTCACGCTCCCTGGCCCCCCCCCGCCTCCCCGCTGGGCAGCTGGTGTGGTGCCCCCTGCCGCCGCCACTGCTTTCTCCGCTGCTGCCCCCAAACCCTGCAGAGCTCACCTTCATCTGGGGGGGTGGCGGGGGGGGAATGGGGAGGGGGTGAGAGCAGAGGGAAAGGTCTGTAGATGAGGCGGGGGCAGGTGCAGGGTGAGGTGGAGGACTGGTGGAGGGATGAGGAAGGGAGAGGTACAGGGGTGGGGTGGGAAGAGGTGGCGGGGTGAGGTAGGGACAGGTGCAGGGGTGGGGTTGGGGGCACAGGTGGACAGGTGAAGTGGGGAGTTCAGAAACGCAAGGTGGGAAGGACAGGCATGGCGGAGTCCTTTCTGTCAAGACAGGGGTGGCTAAGAAGGAGGGTTTCTGGTGGGCGTGGCTGGGGTCCCCAGTGTCTTGGGGCAATGGGAGCCAAGGTTGGTTCTGACCCCCGCCCCCTCCCCTCTACCTCCCTCCCCTGCCCAGATCCCGGCAGCGGCTCCGCTGAAGGGCCCAGGCCCCTCCTCGTCCCCGTCACTACCTCACCAGGCCCCTCTGGGGGACAGCCCCCACCTGCCCTCGCCACATCCCGCCAGGCCTCCCTCCCGCCCCCCCTCCCGCCCCC